TTTTTTTTTTTTTTTTTTTTTTAAGCAAATTTGTTTGGCATTAAGGACAAACACTATAATGAACATTATTGGGCTTCAGCTGGTGTTGACACCGTCGTCTAGTAGTTGGTGCCCTGGACTACGAATCCCATGACCTGATTCAACTATGGTGGGACCTAGCAATTTTATCATTTTCTTGGCACTTTCTAATCATTCGTTAGTAGCTAAAGTTGAGTGCTACTGCTAACCCCCAAATTCCAGTTTTTATATTCCTAATTCCCATCACACTCCTATTTAAGTACAGCATTATTTTTAGAAAAACAAAATGCGAGTCCTCGAAATTAAGGATTTCTCCTTTGCTATGCCCCAGAAAACAGAGAAAGTGCAGCAATCAAGGTAAGAAAAAACTCTACCATCACACAACAGCACTGCGGCTACTGGAATGTCTAGCCATGGTATCTAGACAAACGCATAAAAGAGCGTGAAATAAAGCAGTTAACAGAAACCTATAATTAAGGGCAAGATAAGAAAAAGTGATGCCCCAATACAATTTCATGGACTCGTAGTTAATAATTTCAGAAATAAGAGTGATTTTGACACACAAGTGTAGTAATTTTTAATTATTATATTTAAAGTTATCCCTTTCAGATACTTAAAACAATCTATAGTCAAATGTGAGTAAAACCGTAATTTTAATAATCCACAGTGAAAAGGAATATAATATATATTTATCAATAACCTGCCAAATAACACGACTCATAGGAAACGAATGGAAAGCCTATAAAAGCTATAAAAAAAAAAGAAAAGAAAAACAAGAGAAAGACCTAAAAAAACGACCCACACACACGGAAGAAATCCCTTTCACAAACGCACACAATGAGAGAGGAATAAAAAATAAAAACGAAAAACCAAATGGAAGCAAGCGAAACACAAAAGTGGAAAGGAACATCCCCGAAAGATGTATCCAAAAATAAGTGAATGTGATCCAGCGGTGCTGCAGGCTGCAGCACAACCCCAAAACAAAAGAAAAAATGCACCCAAGGCCAAGGGTATTTTCAGTCACAGTAATGTAATGTATCTTGTTCAAGATAAAATTCGTAGAAAAAGAAAACAATAAAGTCTTAAAATATTAGTATAATTTATATTAAAACAAAATAGCTTTCGGCGCAGGTTATCCAAGACAACGTGGTACAGTAGTTGGACTTGGAGTAGTAGAGTAGAGTAGAGTAGTGTCCTCAGCGGCGCACGTTAGCAGGAAAGAACAAAAAAGAAAAGAAGTAAAGAAAAAGCAGAGTGCGAGAGAGGGTAGTGGAATTGGGTTAATTGAAGATAAGAAAGAAAGGAGAAATTAGGTAAAATTAATTAGTAAGGAAAATTGGAAATGTGAGATTGACCTGAACGCCGGGAGAATCGAAGTTGATGACGCGGATCTTGGCGGCGACGTCGCCGAGGACGCGGAGGTCGACGCGGTCGTTGAGGGAGGCGTCGCGGATGAGGTCGGAGGCGTCGGCCTGGAGGAGATTGACGCGATCGACGGAGATGGTGGCGATGACCTGTCTGGTGCTGTGGGCCTGCTGGAAGAAGCCGGGGACGGAGGCCCTGCCGAGGGGGATGCCGCGGTACATGACGGTGAAGCTGGACTGGCCGTACTTGATGCCGACCTTGTTGGGGTTGACGGCGGAGAAGAGGAGGCGTATGGTGAGGGAGAGGGAGGCGGTGGAGGGGGGATTGGGTGTGATGCCCATGTACTGCACCCCCACCTGCTCCAGATCGAACTGCGGCTTCTTGGGCTTCACCGCCAGGATTATCACAAGCACCACTGCCAGCACTAGAAGCGCTAGGAACGAGAACAGAAGGAAGAGGCAGCAGCAGCATCCTTTGAATGATGCTGACGAGGACGACCGTGACGGCGTCCTTGCTTGGTAGTGTCGGTAACCGTTTGAAGTCGCTGAATGTCCTGTCCCTCCTGCTGCTTCTGCTGCTGCCCATTGTCTTCGCTCGCCGTTTCCATGTGCTTCGTTTGCTCGCGTCATTCTCCCTCTCTCTCCGGATGCCTTTCTTCTTCTTTTCCTGTCACTCTATTTCTATATATCACACATGAGAGAGAGACTCACCATCACTTTTCCCTCATCTCTTATTGCTTTGCAAACTACCAATTTTATTTAACACTTCAATAATAATAATAATTAAACCTCCTAATCCTATTATGTCTTTATTTATATCATTCCAAATAATTATATATTTTATTTTTTTTATAAACATAATTCACATCTAACAATATTTTTAACACACTAGATTTGAATCCCAACCCATTGGATAAACAAAGATATACAAAATTAGTTGTCATAATGTAAATTTCAGCTGCTATAGCTAGTAAAGTAAAGACACTACTAATTGTGTTCTTGACGTGAATCAAATGAAAAAAAATATGTAAGTAAACGATATGAAAAAATTAGATTACAATCTTCATTGGGTAATTTCTTATTGCTGTCAAACTGGATTTTCTGAGTATTATTTTAGTTCAGATATTCGTCGGCGGCACTGTGATATCTGTCATGTTAAGATTGTGTTCTTTCTCTCACAAGGTATATTCTCGAGAATAACACTAATCTTTTGTTTTAAAATCAATTATTATATCCGGAAATTAAAGTTATAATACTAATTTCTATAAAACATACTTTTATATTATTATTATGTTAATAAAAAATATTATTATTATATAATAATTTGGTGTATAAGTCAAATTTTACGTACAATTTTTAAAGTGCATCTGCCTACTTAACAAATTGTGAATATAAAAAATATTTTCAAAGTAAGAATGGACGTTTGGTGGTGAAGTGAGTGGGGATGAATATGAAATGGAAAGTTGAAACGGTGCGGAGGAACATTGCAATGGAAGATGGTAGACAAAAGGGGCTCTTCACCCAGTTCTATGGCTTTGACTCCATGTTTTTGCGGGACATGTTCTTTCTTTCTCACTTCCGGTTTTTGTCAGTATGGGAAGATGTTCGAGTCCGCTGCACGACACAACTTTGGGTCCAACAATTTGGGCTATAATGTTACAATGGGGTGTCTCACAGATTCGGCCTGCTAATGCTATGCGTTCCTAACAACAAGTTTGATGAAGAATTTGGTATTTTGATCATTCCATTAAAGTTCTTAGTCTATACTCATTTATAATCTTATCATTCTTTCACTCTTTTGAACGTAAGACTGCTAATTAACCTTAATATTCTTAAAAAATAAATACCACATTCAACATTAAAAGAAAACATTAAAAATTACACACTTTTTTCTTCTTCGTAACCTTCAATAAATTACCATCTAGATCAATTAATATGACATTATTATAATTTAACTAACGGTCTCAAATTTAAATATGTAGGTGAATCAAATACTTGTGATCTTTATAAAATTAAAACAAATAATAGAAAAATCTTCAATAAAACATGGAGTGCAAAACTCCATCTCTGTCCCAAAACTTTTACAATACCTTAACAATATTTTTTCGTATAATAACAAAAAAAAAACTTAAGAACTTGCGTAAATTATTAGCTATTGTGAATACTACAAATAAATAAGGTTTTTTAATTTCTTAAATTTTGCAACAAACATCTAGATTATTATCGTTACTTTAAGAGAATTGGTTTCTTTTTACCTAAGAGAATGTTTGGTTCAAATAAGAGAAAAGACGGGGAAAGGAATTCTGATATTAGAGAGAAGTAATTTCGAAGAATTTTTAAAATAATTTATATTTTTTATCGTTATAATTTTAAAAATTTAAATTTAAGTAAAGATTTATTTTTTTAGATATTATATTCAAAATGTTTTAAATCTCGTTCTTCCTCTTCAAATCCACAACAAATCCACAAATATTTGAACTCCCCACGGCTAATTTTCTTGAAAATATTTTTATGTCAAAATATACATTTTATTTAAATTTGTTGTGTTATGCTATTTTTCTTTTTAAGAAATAAAAGTTCTTAAGGGCTCAAAAAACTCATGATTATTTATATGTTCAATAAAAGAATAGCTATTTGTATTGATATTAATAAAATCCTTATTCTGATAAAATCTGAATTCAATAGTTACTATATAATTAAATATTAATTTTAAGTGTTATTATATAATTAACATTAAATTTTTTGTGTTTTATATGATTTATGTGTATACTTAATTGTTTTTGAAAAAGATTATTAAAAAAATTGACACTAAAATTTATTTCAATGTATTAGTTTCTATAGTATTGACTTTTGTTGGCATTGTTATCTACATGGAGCAAACATAAGATGTCACTCTCGTTTACCTCTAATAAAACAATAGCTTGTTCAGAGAGTATATCAAGTGAGATTCCAACCATTACCACTTAGGGATATCAATTTGAGATTGATTGATACATTTAACTTAATTAATTACTAGTTGTGCTAAATGTGGGCTACCCTGCAATGTATTTTACTTAAGATTGACAAATTATTGGCCTAGTCCATTGTGGATTACAAAGCAATATTATTCATACTTTAGGCCAACAACTTCCCTTTAAATTATTTACTCTCTCTCTCTCTTTTTTTTTTGTTACAGAATTATTTTCTTTTTACTTATATCTATCATATAATGTTTTGGTTAAATTATCTAAATCAATGAATTTCATGTACGACTATATATTTTAATCGGTTCAAATTTTCTTTGACCATAGAATCAAATAAAACTGAAGCATGTGGATATATGAAATGGGTGGTTTAATGCTTCTCGTGGCAAGAATTAAGGTGAATCCGAAAATGAAATGGCAGATATAGCCATATAGGTCCTTTTTGCCTTTGCAATACCTTATCCACAGCATGCATTTATTATGAAATAGCGATAAATTAATTATCAAACAACAAATTGTAGAGCATAGAATTAATGTTGAAAGAGGGCACAGAAAATGAGAAATTATGCTCTTCCCATGATTTTGAAGAGATCGTGTGTTGAATGAGGCTAAAGAGTATCTTCTTGTATTTTTATGGTGGCAAAGAAACTTGGTGGAGCCTGATGAGAAACAGTGGACAAATTTGCAGTCTGAAGGAACTGTACCATTTGATTTGGACAGTAATTAATTATTAGATGTGTTGGCTGAAATGGTAAAAAGGCAATTCTATAGAAATCAAGAGACTAGGTCATGGTGCCTTCTTCGGATGTAATGGCTTGGGGGTGTGCATCTTTAGGCTATGTCATATGTGTGCGTCTTTAGGAAATGTTTATATATATATCGAATACATATTATTTTTATTTGAGATAATTTTATTTAAATTAGATAAAATAAAATTAAATATCTCAATTTTTTTAATAAAATTTATTCAAATAAAAATCAATTTAGATTATAATTAACTATATTATACATATAATTGATTATTAAAATAATTTATTTTTTATAATTTTTTCAAGCAAACTCTTAATGACGAGTAATGGATAATTTTTTAGACGAGTCATCTCCTTCATCAAGAGACTCCAACGATTAGGATTACTTGTCATTAAAAGAGAATATGCACACCCCATCACTTCACACGAACTGATAGGATTTAGTTCTTTTAAATATGATTTACCACATAAAAATTAATTATTTATTGTATCCAAATGAAATTAAATATTTCAAAATCATTTTTCATCAAATTTATTCAAATAAAAATTCAATCAGATCATAATTAATTATAAAAAATAATTGATTGTATGCAATTAATTATTAAAATATTTTGTTTTTTATAGTTTTCCAAGCACACATTAATCTAATGGTTAGTAACGGATTCATAGACGCTTTCATAGGTGATGTGTTTGATTTAAAAAAAATGTTACTTTTATACAAGAGATGTAATATTTTTTAATAATCATTTAAAAACTTGTAAAATTTTCATAAATGACATATTATATATTTCCTATAAAAAGAATCTAATTTGATTCACTCGTGTAGGAAAATATAGCAAACGAGAAAGCTAAGGCTCCTTCCTAGGAACTAGGAAGTGGACGTGTTAGGTTTTGAGCTTCTCTCTCATTAGTCTTTACAGTTTACAGCATATTTTATTTTATACTCTACAGGGCCTACATCACATCTCATTCAAACTTTGTAGTTTTCAATTACTCATAAATACGTTAAATATTAGTTAAGATGATTCTAGATAAATTTTTCATGTTTATATTTTTTGTTAACAAAATTAATAGTGATATGGAATTGATTTTGAGTTTAAACTAATTTTTTCTATTAATTTTCTTTTAGAATAAAATATTCAAAACATGAATTACAGTACCAACACTGCAACGCACATTTAGGCTTAGCAGTTAGCACATTTAACTACTTAATTAACATGGAAACCCTAAATATATCGTTTTTTTTATATGTATGTAAAATGTGAGAAAATACCATCATTTGGACTAAAGTACTGGGTTAGCTTGGTTATTGATCAACATCAGTTTGATTATATCACGTTTCGTAAATATCTGATCATAGCTCAAAGTTATCCCAATTTGGTCACATTATGACACATAATTCAATTAATTAAAGCCATCTAGCCAGGACTTTTGAAACAGGCACCAACCACATCACAACACCTTTCTTTCCCACTAAGAAAAACCTACAACATGAAGATATTCATTTTTCCCTATTCGCCCTCGCCTTTTTTTTTTTTTTTTCTTTTCATGGTGTTCAAACAAATAAGGATTGTTATTATGATTGAAAGAGGAATGTTTCTATTATGATGATGACCCATTGAGCGAGAATTGACATGTGAAGAAAAAAGATAAGGTCATTAAATCTTTATTAAAGATGATTAAGACTAAGAATATGGGGGGCAAACAAAAAAAACTCAATTTATATCTAGAAGTGAAACATTAAAGCGTGTGCTTTATTTTTCGTTAGAATAAAGCTTAACCGATGTTTGGCTAACGCAAATTTTGTTTAAGCTTTCTCTCACACAATGCCTATACGGGTAATGAAACATAACCTAAAATGTTAAAGTCAACAAAAAATGTAGCAACTTTTAAGCAAAACCTTTTCTTCTGTTCTTTCTCATCTCAAAAAAGAAGAAGAAAAAAAAAGAAGGAACGATTGATATCGATCCCACTGCGTTGGTTCATGCACTTGAACTAATTAACCAGAAACTAAAGGTTGGCGTCACATGAGAGTGAAAATAATGTCTATAAGTGCAACCCAAAAAAGTGATGAAGAATTGAGGAAAGGAGTAAAAGATTGGTTCGATGAAGAGTTTAATTAATTATCTAGAAAAGTGATAAGTACGTGTAAGTAATGCCCTAAAGCTAAACATTGTAAAGTCCAAAAGCTAGGAATTAGCCATGGTATATTGACATGAATGCTTAAACACATACAATGATAGGACATTACATAACATAATTAATATAACAGAAAAAACGAGTATTAAACGACAAGTTGTTACAGGTTTGGTTTGCTTTATTTGAAACTAGATGGTTGGAAAAGAAGTCTCTGGGAATCTTTTTCTCCATGTTTGCTTTGCTCGTTGGAAAGTTCTCTTTTTCTACCTAAGGTTTTAAAAGCAATGCTGCTCCTCGCTTTCTCGGAAACTATCCAAATAATGGTTTCTGTTTCTGCATTCTACTTGAGTTTATTTTGTATCATTGACATCCAAATGGAAAGGTACTATACGCTACCAGAATAATCAATGCCTTCTTTCTTAAGGCAATTTGGTTTACATCATCAAAAATTTGTATAACTTTTTTAAGCAAATATATTATTTTATAATTAAAGAGAGAAATAGAAAGATATGAAGAGGGATTAATGATGAAAGATAAATTAACTAATTAGATATAGAGACATATTATAAATGTTATAGAAAATTGTTATATCAAGTTCTGCAATATGCATCCATATCCACTTATAAAAACATCCAGACTTATATTTAGATATATGAACAGTAACTATAGTACATTAGTCTTGTATACTCACACCCGACTCGTTATTGACATTTTATTCAATACAATATATTCTTTATTTGATGTATTTTTTATTTTTTATAAACTAGAAAGACAAACATATTATTGTAGCTTCAAAATTGACTACAAAAAAAATATTAATTAAAAACATAACATCTTAACTAAAAAAAATTAAAGACCCTTTAAATTATAACATTACATAATGATTAGATTAAATTTATTATACATAAAGAGAGGGGATCAACTTATTAATTATGGGAGTAACTTCCTCTTTTCTATAACTTTTTATGTATTTTGAATTTTATTATTTTCACTATAGAATTAAAAGTATATAGTAATTTATAAAATTTTAAATTTATTTGATACTACATAAAATAAATTTAATTAGCGTATAAATTTTTTAAAATATAAGTCAATGTTAGTTGTTAAATAGCTAGAGTTAATGACTATATATTGTAAATGTAAAAGGTTCAAAGAATTCGTTTGTAGTCTTGTGTTTTTTATACGTTCAGTAACACTAAAAAAATGTTAAAGTTTTATTCTTAATCATCAACATAGCATAACTTTTAAAACAATTACTGTCAAACTCAATAAATCTCCCTACATATGATCGGGAAAGACGATATAGAATTTCTTTATAAGTGTATAGATTATTTTCTCAATAACATAACTATAAATGGCCAATTTATGTGAAATTTAATGCTCGTAATCATTTCATAAATGTCCAAAAAAATATTCAAGAATTTAATTAATAAAATTTAATATATAAAAAGTTATTGAATGGAATATATATAATTTTAATAAATCAATTTTAAAATACTTGAATCTCTCCTCACATAATAAAAGTTATTAGTTGATAAATGTACATGATTTTAATGGAGGATCAAAATTACTCTTGGAATAACTCTTTAAAATTACTCTTTGAAAATGTTCTTGTACGAAACATTTAGAAATAATACCAAGAGTGAGAGATTTGATTAAGCAAGATTTTAAAGTTGAAATTTCTCCTCTAACGTTAATAGGTTTAACCAAGACATTTATAACACAACTCAAATAAGCCTCACAACCAAAAATTTTTTTAGATAAACTTCACAGTCAATCAGTCTTTATAATAGAAAAGACATTTGATGATAAGTTTGTGCTTGATTGGAGGAATTATCGTAAATGATTAAAGTGTGACGTTCATGGTATATAAAATATTCAACTAAAGTTACTCCTATACAAAGGGTAATGTATTATAATGTAACTAGAGAATTCGATATTTCAACTACTACAATAATACAACCCATTGCTAATCTTTCTTGTAAGGTAGTCACCCTTGAGTCATAGAAGATGTTTTTTGATTAACAATTACATAAACACATTACATTTTGTTCCTATTGACCGAGAATTGTATCTGTGATTATTGTTATTTTATTCATTTGTCTATTTTCAATAAGTAATTCTCGTTGACCACGTCATAGAAATCATTGAAACAATAGTAATAATTCTTATTTAAAAAGGTTCTTATATGAAACATCTAGAAATATCGAGAGTGAAAAATTTGATCAAGCAAGATTTTAAAATTAAAATTTCTCCTCTAACGTTAATAAGTTTAACCAGGACATTTATAACACAACTCAAATAAACCTCACTTAATCGCATTTTCCCGTTGCTTTTACTGAACTTCTTTCTTGTATCATCAAACCATCACCCATTAATACTACAACATTTTTGGGTTCCAACATTTAGGGTTTAGGATATACTACCCATGCCTATTACCTAGCAATTATTTGCAGATACTTATCGAGGTCAATACCCATAATTCAACTGGTGGAAAAAGTTACCCTTAACAAATAATTTTTCTCATCTCTAATTTTATTGTTTTGCCCCCTGGAAAATTAAATGCCGGATGAAAACTCACGTAAATTGAAATAAAATGAATGCATGCTATGTTAGCTCGTTAAGGGCAAAAATCCAACAAACATACTGTGCATTAATCTGAATCTCCAAAGGGCGGCAATACAAAGAATAAGTGAAGAAAGTTCATCTTAACACAAAATACAAAAGGCTACAAGTCCGAATACGTAAAGCTTAGAATAGCAAGGGATAAACTACAAGACATTAACTCTCAGAACTATTGAAAATTGTGTCCTTCGGGCGATCACTTCCCCTCCACATTTTCGGGATCAGCCGCATGATCTGCACTGGCGTTACCTGCTTCCGTCTTAGTTGTTTCATCAATCCTCCTTCCAGAATCATCATCTAATTCATCATCCATCATGTCATCCTCTCCCACATTTATATCTTCTACATCATCATCCTCTTCATTGTTTCCGCCAGGGATCTTTCTTTTCTTCGGACCATGCTCCAGCCTATGAGTATCCAACTCTTTGTCCATGGTCTCCTGTAAATTCTGGTCATTGTTAACTTTCCTTGCATTCCTTGCATTCTGCCATCTGTCCAATTCCTTCTCAACATTGGCAAGATACTGCTCTCCAATCTGTTTCTGATACTCAGACACTTCCTCTCTTCTTGCATTTTTCCATTCTAGGAAAGCCTGCAAAGTGAAAAGTTATGGATATTACACAGAAAATATAAGATACATTTTAAAAAACCATAATCTTGAATCTAGTGTGATAGTGAGTATGCACTCATAAACATCCATGTAGCAAGGAAAACATCTATATTTGAGATTTAATTGGCCAATCATGGATGGGTATCCATAGTGGTCAAAATGATGTTATAAGATGAAGAACAAAAGAAATAAAATGTCTAGTTTGACAACCTCCTCTTTGCGCTTCTCGAGTGATGTAGGATCTTCATCCAAGGGCTTGTTAGGCAAATAGTAGATTGGAGGCTCTGCTTTAGTCCTGCAAACATACACATGCCACATTCAATCAGAGAAGAGCCCAAAAAGTTTAAAGAAAAACATTCACATGTCTACCTAATATCCTGCAATTAGCAGGAAACATCCAGTCATCAAGTTGCTTCAACACAACAATGCACATGAACAGAAACTTATCTTCGTCTGAATAAAATGTGAATATGGAGACTTTTGGACCAAAATTAAAAATAACCTGCAAAGCATAGCATGAATTCATGTCAAATATAATAGATGTCCAGACATTGAATGGACAAACTACAGACTCTTGCATCATTAGGTTACCTTATAAAATTGCTTAGTCTTTTATGATGCTCACTCCACCGAAGAAACAGCAGCTCCAGTTTCTTCTCTTCTGTTTTAGCAGCCACACGAGCCCTAAGAGTCTGATGAGAACATGGGAAAAAATATATCAACATAATATAAATAATGAGGATCAAAATGGAACTTTGTTGTCCATATGAATAGTAAAAAGAGATTAGTTATTGAAAGCCAACCAAATCTCTCCTTCGTTTTTCAGCAATCTGTTCACGCTCTTCTTTCCTAAGCCTTTCACTTTCTTCACGTGCCCTTTGCTCAGCCTAGGAAATAATTTCAACCAGTTCAAGATTATTATGAAGTGAGGATGAGAGAGAGAGAGAGAAGAGAAAATGGAAACCAAATACAGTGCTCAACAAGTAGTTGCTCAAAAAACTTACAAGCATCATAACAGACAGAGGATATTGCAATGAAAAAGTCCAATTTTAACTTGGCACATTGCACACTAATCTAGTCATTATTGTATTAACTTTAACCTTGTCCAACCAGATTGGCACTAAAATTAATATATAACACTAGCTACCTTTTAGGGGGTATAAATGTCAGTCATAAAAATGTATGTCTTACCCACTAAAAGAACTTGTAAACAACCTTTTTGGGACTTTGGACCATATAAAACTTGTCCATTCAATTGAATAGCATGTATAATCCCAACCACCAGTCATCTGAATATTATATACATTCATTAATTGCTAACTTTGATAGCCAAAACGGCAGTAGATACTATGCCAATAATTGGGCCCAATAATCTGGGGAGGCAAGGGCAATATCCGCTGAAATATCATGCATATGACAGAAATAGAGATATAAGAATATAATGCTTTGTTTAAAAATGATTTACATGGGATCACATTTAGATATGCTCTAGCTACCGATGCAAGGGTCTGACTTAATAAAAGATGGAAATGCATCATATGCCTTATATTAACAAGTCCCACTACATATAGCATAATAAACCTACTAGGAACAAGTCAAATGAGTATTTCTACAAAACAAAAAGATCTAAAAATAATGCATTCATCAAAAAAGTTTCAGCAAGTCTTTATAAAAGTTATAACATATTGATATTAGTAAAGATACTGCCCATTTATAAATTTACTGAGAGGTATAGTTCACAATCTACATCTTCATATAAAAGTGAACATGAACTTACTCTTTGCAAGGAATTAGATCTTCGCATATATGCCTCTGTTCCCGAGAGTTGCATGTCTTCCTTTCTGAATTTCTGGAACAATTCAGAATACAAGACATATATTAAAATATAGAAATAACAACCATAGCATTGATGATTAAGAAACCTGCATACTACTTAAGGGAGAAACACTTATAAGAACAATTGACACTGAAAACAATGTCAGACAGAAAATTCAAGATGAAAAGCAATTATTGAGAGAAACAGATAGATAGAACGAATTTAAATGAACACTACAAATAAACTACTGAATCGAGCTTATAGTATATAGCACTAGAGATTTGTTAAAAAACAAGTAACTAATCTAAACATACCTCCAGAGTTCCCAAAAGCTGGCCCAACATTCTCTTGTTCCTATTAACCAAACTTGGATCATCATTCTTTGGCATTACCCTTGGAACATGTTCCGTAGGAGGAATGTCAGAAGGCTGACATGCATAACACGTTAAAGTGTCAGAATATATACAACTTTAAACCAACAATCAACAAGAAGGTAACAGAATTATGTTTACCACCTTTAAAGTTCTTGGATTGCTATCTCTCTTAGACCATCCAGTTTGGTGAGAATTTAAAGGGTTCCTATCACTCTGGACCAATGCACCAGTCCCATTCACACCTTCGCTAGCGGAATCCTTTGTCTTTTCACCCTCTCCTGCTTCAGCATCTTCAGGAATCTCCCCGTCATCCACCTTCATTCCCAAACACGGATAAAGTTAAAACCACATTCATATATTTCCCTCAGTGGGAGAGGGTTCTGCTTCCGAGTTAACAGAAAATGTACACCACATACAAATTTTGAACCACTACTCCCACCCCACTTACCAGAAATCATCAACAATGAGTAATCAAATGACAAAACCCAACAAATAGAAAAAAAAAGAAAAAAAAAAAGGGAGTGAACTTGGTAATCAAAGACATTAACAATTAATGATTATAAGAAACAAGTAGCAATACCCTGACGACAGCAGATGAAAGTCGACGTTTGGCAGGAGGTTGATCTTCAGAATCATTCCTGTCTCCCTGAATGGAGGAAATATATAAACATATAGAAGAAATTGGGAGTGAACCCTAAAGAGAGAGAGAGGAATACTGACAGGACGCAGAAAGGGTCGTGGGCGAACGCCGTTAGTGCGAAGAGCAGGAGGCGCTAAGGCACCACCTCTGCGAAGACCTCGAGGATCTCGAAGCCTCTCCGTAATCTACAAAATTAAGAAACATGAGAATAAGAATCGAATATAAATGTGGAGAGCGAGAATAGAGAGGGAAAGAACCTCGCGCTGTTGGCGAAGAAGCTCATCGATCTCGTTGCGGAGTTCAGCCTCCGTCTTCTCCACCGCAGTGCTCCCCATTGGTGTATGCACCACAAAAACCCTCGCTCCCTTTTTCACCACCGCACCTAAAAACCCTTTTTTTCCTTCTTGCCCTTGGGCCCTTTTTCTTAATTCAAACACACATTCATTTTTTTTCTTCTTTATTTAATTAAATAAACTCTAAAATATTATTCATTTGATTCAGATCTCAATATCTGGTAGTCTAAGAAATCAAGTATTTTTTTAAATGAAATTAATAAAATTAAACAACGTTAACTAACTAAAATAAGTTACAAGCATTAGCATATTATAATTTATTTTTATAACTTGTTTGAAACAATTGAACTACTGGACCTCATATTCGGCAAAAAACCTTATACTAGTATTTGCTATAAAATAGGTTAAAAAATTGTAATCTTTCTATACACAACTCAACAGTGGACATGCATGCCATAGTTACTTGAAGATAATTTATTTTGTTAAATATTATTAAAATTCTCTAATTAAGGGTGTGAAATTTTGATTTTGAACAACAACATATATTTGTTTAGTTTTAATGTTGCAAGCATCTTGGTGTTTAAAATAACAAATTGGTATAGCATTCAAAGTATGGGTGTGATGCGTATTGCGGAAGAACCATTCAATTCAAAGGACCGCGAGCTACGTATTCAAGCTGATAATGTATATTATTTAAATAAGAGCTATTCAAATTTCAAACAAGTGATTTTTTAAAAATTATCATTCAAAAAAATTGTCTTTGTTATTTTATTATAATCTTTACGATATATATATATATATATTCATCCCTTTAAAATTTCGTTCATTTTGAGTTAGTTCTTTTTAAAAACATATAGTAAAAATTAAAAGCAATTTATTCACATATTAAAATGACAAAAAAATATTACAATGATTATAATAAAAATAACAATGACCAAAATAAAAACTACAATAACTATTTTTTAAAAAATTACAAGAACAAAAAAATTAATCAACTAAAAATATATTTAAACATTTTTTATTTATCTTTTTATCTATCTAATAAATTGTGTAATATATGTCTTCATGTGCATGTAGAATCATCACGTCCTAACCTTAATTACCTTTCCTCTCAGTGTGAGTTTGATTCTCCACAATGCCACTTTTGGTGGGTAACTCCCCTAACTCTTCTAATACCTAACATCTAGTTAAGTATTGGCGAATGGACGAGATTAATTATAATTTTGATTTGTATAATAATTTTGTAGATGATGTATGGTCGGAACCTCAGCATATAATTCACACCTTACCTAGTAATGGTGTTGCTTGCTCTACTAGGCATAGTAATTAAAAACCTGCATCCACATATACCAGCCATGGATATAAAATGGATAGTTAAATTGAAACCTGTTTAATAATAATGAAGGGAAAAAAGTAATATTCTATGCATACTTGTAAGTATTAATACTTTGAAATTATTTAAATATTTTTAATTATATGGAAAGTAATTTTTTTATAATTTACTTTTAGTATAAATATATCAAAATATTATTATTATTATTATTATGATCATAATTTTATCGATATAATTAATAAATTTATTAAAATAAGTAATATTAAAGAAATTATAATAAATTTAATATTATTTATTAAATAATATATAAAACTAAAAATTTATCAAGTAATTTAAATATTTTTTTTTATATTATTCTTTTGTATTATACTTTAACATGTGTTGAAAACACCTAATTATATAATCTATTAAGCAGCCTTACGTTGAATAAAAAAAAATGATTATTAACAATTTTTGTTTTATTTTTTATTTCTCGTAAACTAGATACCATTATTTCTACTTAATTTTCACTTTGTTTTTCTACTTTTAATTTTCATTCACCCATTTTTTTTATAACTTTTTATAAAGCATTTATTTATTTTTACTTAACAATTTTTTTATAAGTTTTCATTTACTTATTTTTATAAATCATTTTTGATATATAAATTATTTCCCAGCCAATTAAAAACATCTGCATTTTGTAATAGTTTATCTACAATAGGATGTGCAATAAAATTTGATGAAGAACAAGTGTGCCTAACAAATTGTTTACTCTTTGTTTGAAAACTTGAAATCATGGGATTGATATCCAATGTTGGCCGCCACAAGAACAATGGTCAAATAACTGGTTATAGTTAAGATGTTTACATTATATTATATGTATTATTTTATTATATTATATTATGAAAAAGTAAGAAGAGTTCACATTGAATTCAGGAAAAAAAATTCATATTAATTCTTCAACAAAGTAAATATCATATTTAGGTGGAGTGATAAGGTGGTCTGGTGGTAAAAGGAGGTGGTCCTGGGGCTGGAGGGATAAGGCAGGATGGAGGTTCGAGTCCCCCTAGGACCCAGCGGAGATAACTACTAATTACTAACTACTAACATTTGCCTATCAAAAAAAAAATATCATATTTAGGCGGCATTCGGACACCTTGAGTAATAGATTTATTGATTCAATAAAAGTGTTCTGTATTATTTTATTATATTATGAAAAAGTGGGAAGAGTTCTAATTGAATTTGAAAGAGAGTCCATATCATATTTAGGCGGCATTCGGACACCTTGAGTAATAGATTTATTGATTCAATAAAAGTGTTCTGTATTATTTTATTATATTATGAAAAAGTGGGAAGAGTTCTAATTGAATTTGAAAGAGAGTCCATATTAATAAAAAAAAGTGTTGACAAAAATAATGTATCTTTTTTTCCTTGCTATTTTTATTATAGAATTATATATTATATATAAAAATATATTTAAATAAGTTGTAAATATTTGAATAAATTTTTGCTTTCTTAAAAGATAGATGGGCATAAAAATAAAAAATTTGAAAACATTGTGACTTAGGATAGACAGGACAAGAAGAAAATGTTTGGTTTGACGAAAAGGGAAAAAGAAAGTGGTAGTGGATGTGTTAAACTGCGCGCCACGTGGCATCAGGAGGTATTTATTAGTTATATTTGGATACACAAGTACAATGATTGGGTAAACAAAATAAGAAATATATATATAAAAAAAAAATGTTGCGTTGGTGTGAAGTGCCGTCTGTGTCTAATGGTGTTTGGGATTGGGAGAAATAAAAAAGAAAGAGTAATTGGTTTTGGTGTGAGAAGTGAGAAGTGAGAAGTGAGAAGAGAATGATGGAGGAGAAGAAAGAGTCAGTGGGGAAGCGGTCGAAGCCGCGGCTGGAGCGACGGAACGCCATGAAGAACATTGATTACCGCTTCAAGGACCAAGACACAGACGAAGAGACACTTCATTTCAGAGTCAAAGGAATCGACGGCGA